GTGTTTATCTCTGTTTGCTGTAACTTTGAACCTAAGGCTAGAGGGGATTCCTCTGGGCTCTTTAAGTTTGATTACCCTGTAAAGTTATTTTCCATCCTGATTTTACAGAGATGATTTTTACCTTCTTCTTTAATTAAAAGCCTTCTTTTTAAGAACCTGATTGATTTTTCCTTGTTTTTAGATCCAAGGGGGTTGGATTTTGATCCACCAGGAGTTGGTGGGAGAAAGAAGGGGGATGGTTAATTTCTCCTTGTTTTTAGATCCAAAGGGTTTGGATCTGTATTCACCAGGGAATTGGTGAACAGTCTCTCAAGGCTACCCAGGGAAGGGAATTAGCACTTTGGGAGTGGTGGCAGCGGACCAGATCTAAGCTGGTAGTTAAGCTTAGAAGTTTTCATGCAGGCCCCCACATTTGTACCCTGAAGTTCAGAGTGGGGAAGCAGGCTTGACACAGTTTAAATTTTAAAATCCAACATGGCTGATCAAAATGGCAGGGATGGTGATGACATAGTTCAAATTTAGGTAGGGGAAAGTTCCAGCAAACAAGATGGCATTAGAGAAAGGAGCTTAGAAAGGTCTAGAATCTAAGATGGCATCAGGGAGGAGCTTTCCTACCTAAAAATAAGTATGATGTCGTGGGGAGGAGCTGAAAAACTAGAAACTGATTGGCTGAGAGGATCTGAACTTAAGAGAGCAACTAGTACACAAGGCCGACAGCCAGCAGGCTGAGTATGTAGTGGGTTTGACAGCAGGCTGAGATTGTAGGAGACTTTCAGCTAACACGCTGAAGGTAGTGAGTTTGAAGCTTTGCATAAGAACGGAAGCTGCCTGAAAAGAAGAACTAAACAGCCTGAAAAGCAGCTACCTGAAAAGCAACTACATGGAAAAACAGCAGCAGCAGTAGAATTCTAAGGTTGCCGTGACAACGAGCAACTGCCTGCTAGCAGCTACTTTGCCAACAGCAACAGAAGAGCAGCAACCGCCATTGCATCTGCAGCCCGACTGAGCAACAGCACAGCTGTGGAGCCCGTACTTCTGGAAATCAGACAGAGCAGAAGGACCAATTAGATGGGTCAGAGGGAAATTTTGAATAAAAAGTTAAAGTCTGATCTTCTTTTCTACCTATTATTTAAGAGTGTATAGATTTGTTTGTATATAAAGCTGGATGCCTGCATTTTGAGTGAGATCTCCCCTACCCGTCTTGTAACTGCTTGGCCAGCGCTTACAGCATGTTAAATGTTTAATGTTAAGAGTTAATGTTGATGTCAAGTAAATGTTTATTTTTAATCTGTGAATATGGTAATGGTTTTTCATGTGTGTACAGAGGTCACGTATACCACATGGTATTAAGTACAGGGTTAAACTGTATCACTAAAGCGAAAAGCCTTTGTGTATACGGGAATCTCTATGCGCATGTTACATTGAAACTACTGTATTTCCTGTATGTGATAGTTATCCTATATAGCCTGGTCTTTTATTTTATTGCGTCGCTTTTAAATGTAATTCTGTTGCGTTTTACTATAGTCTATGTATTCTTTCTTGCTTCATTAAATACATTGAAATAACCACTTATTTCCTTAAATAGACAATTCTTTGGTTTTCGAAGAATTACTGCTTGTGTGTCCATCCTTGAACGGAAGGCTGTATGTGTGTCCTTTTAGGGGTTAGTAAGACTAGCTTTCTTTGGGGAGCCCTCTGTGGATCTGAGACAAGCCCCCTGGTAACATCCTGGCAATTCTTTTAGGGCAACCACAACCTTGTTACCCTTTAGTTAAATTATAAGCGCTATCATAGGCTAACATAACTGAGGTCTAAAATTTTAGGGTAACAAGATCACCTCATTCTTGAACCCTCAGATCTTCCAAATAATTTAATTTACCTTAAAACAGCCCAGAAAAATACTACCCTTCCATAACATTATAATTATGAAATTAAAGGCTCATAATGGAAGGCAATCTCAATCTCTAAGGATGGGAAGACTAGCATCTCTACATATTTATCCATTGGATTGTTAAGTGACACACTTTCAGCAATATCTCCATTTTTTCCAGCTTTTTTTGCTAGACTTCCACTGCACAGCTGGAAAGTGGGTATGAAAGGCATCTTGATCTAATTTAAATTTATATACTGAGTTATCTTCAGGAAGAGTCCATATCCAGCTAGCAGACATTCCCTGAGGAATTACACCAGTACAAAATAAATCTTAATGCTGTCAAATGCTAAAAATTGGAAGTGGGGTGAGCTAAGCCCATAGATATCTGGGTATACAAAGAACATCCCACTTTACTCTTGGACAATTCATTCCATAGATAAATTTGCTCACCATTTAATTTAATTTCCTTAAAAAACTATTTGGCGGTTTAATGGGAAGCAATGAGGTCACCTACATAAAACTTAGTAAGGAACCATTTTGCAATACTAATCCTGTCCAGCTAAGATCTGGATTTGCTTCCTGCTTCAAATCTCCAAATACCTTATTCAAAACAGAATATAATTATATTTGAACAGTGTGTCACACCTAGTGGCGACATTAATGAAAATATTCCATGATTAAAACTATGTCAGGCAAATTTTAAACTCATCTAGAAACAACTAATCAAGACACAGCACTAAGAGGATGGATTTAGGGAGGTTAATGTGACAGCCTGACTGAACTCTATTTTCTCTAGGACACAAATTAATGCATAAATAGGTATGTGGGTCAGAGCTAGAAATGCCAGCAAATTACCTACTGATAGAACCATGCAGAGCTCCATTTCTCTTGACAAACCTGGTCAAAATTTCACACAGCAGTTCGGAAAGAACCACGCCTACAGTGAGAAAGCAGGTAGTGTTGTCTAGTTCCCCCACACCAGTTTGAAGGCTTGAGCTCTGACCCCACTCATTTTCTCTTGCTTCAGCTGCTCTTCATCAGGATGAACAGCTGACTTTAAGGTCTTTGGCCCAAGAAGGTGAGCGTAGTGAATAGCCAGCTTTCTCTGCTGCTGCTTGCCTCTGAAACGGATGTTGTAAAACTTCCTGCAGGAGATGAACCTAGAAACAATTAAAATTCAGAAGCCATTCCACACAAAATTGTTTTGCAGATTCCCTGGGGCAAAACATATTAAGCATTGAACTCACTCAGGGAATTACTCCTCTAAGTGTTTATTACTACCACTATTGGAGGGCAGTACTGGTCAAAAGTGTTATGAACACAACACTCATTTCATTAGCTCCATAAATGTAATTAGTACGTAAGTAGACAGTTTTACCTCTGAAAAGTCATTCATTTTAGCTTTTCGTACTGCTGATTCTGCCATCCAATTCCTAAGTACATATCTAGGATTGATAGCTGAAATCAAAGGAAAATCCAGTTGAATTTGGTTATAAAAAGTTGAATACATACTATATAAAAGCAACCCATATTTCTTGAATATTTTAATTGAAAGGTCACTTAAAAGGTTTAGTACACAATTAAAAAAAAACAAACAAAAACAAAACAAAAAAACAGTGACATAACAGGAAAAGAAAAGAATTAATTAGCCATATTTTTACATATAGTGATGCCACAGTACCATTGTTCTTCTTTTGTAAGTATTTTTTATTACTAAACAAATATTTAGATGTTTTTTATTTTTAATGGGGGTTTGAAATATGTTAGAAAAATTAACTTAATGTGAAGTGTGTACTTGACCAATTTGTAAGCAACCAGGCTACAAACAGAGAGAAAAGGGTGGTATTAAATACTATGATGCAAAGAAGATTTCTCAGTGCGGATCACTAATTCACTTTTCATTAGTGGTTAGCATATTGAAATCTAGATTTTTGGAGTCAAGTGAGGGGGTGATTCTGCATAAATGATCCTTTATAGGCTAATATATTTGGGGGGAAAATATTTATTTAGATTTAAAACTATAAAAAAGATGCCTACTCCAAGGTCTTAGGTGCCTTTACACCTTCAATAATTATGAAATACAATGAAATTCCAGCAGTACTGAAATAATCATTCCACCCAGACTCTTTCCACCCCTTTACCATTGAGGGATGCACACCCTCAGCCTTCTCTAAAAGCCCAGTGAAACAGGTTTCTTTTGCTGTGTGGTGCTGTGTGCCCAGGAGGCTGCCAAATTTTGACTATTTCAGAGCAAGGGAGGAGGCAGGGGAAGCAAGTTCTAGAGTCCTGGAGCCTTCTCAGAGAACGCCCTCCCAACTGTTCTCCTCCCTTTTATAGTGAGGAGGATCCAGTTCGGGTGCCTCTGCTGACTGCACAAGTAAGGACACAAATTGCCATTGTCAATGTATTATTAAGGGTTATAATATTTATTATTATAATAAATCATGATATAGCTTAATGACAAAAGGGGTGAATAATATTAATGAGAATAAAATTATACTTAGACATTAGTTTCTGAATTTTTCTTGAGGTTCGCACATCAAGATGCTGACCAGAGAAGCTTTCAAAGCTTTATGTAGCAATTATTTCAACCTACACTTTTGGTTTGTGATTCTTGTAAGTCCTTCCTGTGCTTTATACAGTTGTTCTGTTCTTACTGTGGGTAAATAAAACCATGTTTTGCTTTCCACTGTTGTCAAATTGCTATGAACCAAGAAGTTGAATAAAGGCAAAGGGGAGGATAAGAAGCCTAAGATAGTTAAAATTCTAAACATGCCACATTAAAATAGGGCATAAGTGGGCTCAGGAATCAGCACTCTGTCCTGAACAGCTTCAAACAACTCGGCAAATGGAAGCATCATAATCATAAAAACAGCTTTTTTCCAAAACCTGTTGGAAGCATCCATGAGAGCCACATTTCTTCTCGGACAGGTTTCAGGCTGTTTATATCTAATAAGGGGCAGTCCAATGGACTCTGAAAATGAGACTGCTGAATTATTAGTTCACCATTGCTCTTCAGAAGGAACAAATGATAGACTACAAAGGAGTTTATCCTGCATCTTGGGATCAAGGAAAATTCTTATAAGCAAACAGACTTTAATTCTCAAATTCCTGGCTGATATCACTCAGACAAGTCCTAATTTTCCTCTTTAATTAAAGCATGGCCTTCTGGTTCAGTATGTTTTCTTTCAATTAATGACCAAAAGAATATCTACCGATTAAATCTGTTTCTTAAACCTGTTAAACTCCCAGTATAAATCTTTACATGACACAGGAGCAGTGTATTTTCCCAGGGTCAGTACCTGACTATTCCTTTATAGGAGATCAATCAGCAGTACTAGACGCACTATTAGCCTTAGCCTTGGCATGAAGGGTCTATGGTTTTTGCTCACACAACTAAGGCTCATTTGTTCCAATCATTTTGAAAGCGGAGATGTTCTAGTACAGGAGTTCTCAACCTTTTTCTTTCTGAGGCCCCACCCAACATGCTATAAAATCTTCATGGCCCAACCGTGCCACAACAATTCTTTTTCTGCATATCCAGTAGATTAAAAGCCAGGGCTTGCATTAGGGGGTAGCGAGCAGGGCAATTGTCCAGGGCTCCATGCCACAGGGGGCCTCGCAAAGCTAAGTTGCTCAGGCTTTGGCTTCAGCGCCGGGTGGTGGGGCTCGGGGCCTCAGGCTTCTGCCCCACATGGTGGGGCTTGAACTTTCCGCCCTGGGCTCCAGCAAATCTCATACCCCCTGAAACCTACTCGCAGCCCCCCACGGGGCCCCGGACCCCTGTTTGAGAACTGCTGTTCTAGTAGATGTCCCAGTAGATTTAGTGTGAATAACACTTGTTTCAAGACATAGAAAATGTTT